CATGCATGGATCTCTCCAATGGAATGTTTCAAAGTGACTGTGGGGGACCACAGACGCGACCCGCAAAGCCGGAAGCCGACAAAAGGAAGACCAGCACCAAAGACCCCGAGAGGGACCCCAAGCGCGCAGCCCCCAGAGACACCCGCGCTGGAAGGGCCACCCACCCACCCCCCAAAGAGGACCACCAGAGAGAACCGGAAGAGCCCCACCAGCGACCACATACAGCAACCCCTGGGGCCAGCAGTGACGAACTCAAAGGCCCCGCCGGTACCCACCGCGCCAGAGTGGATCCAGGCATGGACACAGAGGCCCGGGCCCCCAGGGAACACCCCCCCACCAGGCCAAGGCCCGACAGGACCAGAGGGACCCCAGCCCCACCGGGCAGCCACCGGGCCGAGCCGGCACACGCCCAAGCGCCCAGCCCCGGACAACAAGAGCCACCAACGTGCCGGCGGGCAAAGGCACAACCCACCAGAAGACAGCACGGCAGTGGAGTAAAGGGCCCTCAAATGATCCCGAAGAAGGGGCTGCCCAATTCCCAGCCTGACATAAATACAAGCATAAGAAGTACTTGAAACAAATAACTAGATACTGCATAGCAGTAACACAATGACCCCCGCACGCACAAATGCACCAGATTTCAGAAGTCTTTATTCCTAATAAATGTCATGCTCCTAGGTGTATCCCAAAATTGTAGTGGTTGGATGGAGGTCCTTTTTTTTGGGGGGGGGGGGGTGGCATTGGTTAACCCGATGGATAGCCCCTAATCAAAGCTAAACAATACAAGAAAATCTAAAGCTCCTATGTTTAATAGTTTTTGAGCAATAACCATTTTTGTGTGTCCAGATACCCCTTTTTCAGATAAACTGGGGGGGTCGGGGGTGGGGGGGCACTGATTGGTGGGCCTGATGGATAGAGCTTCATCAGAGCTAAACAACAAAAGAAATCTGAAGTTTCTATGTTGAACAGTTTTTGAGCCATAAGCATTTTCGCATGTCCAGACACCCCCACTTTGAAAGGAGCCCCCTAATCAAATATGGGGTCTATTGTAAAACCGTTGGCTGGCGCAGTGTAGGTCAGACTCATCTACAGCCCTGCCAAATTTCATGTTGATTGGTGCAGCCGTTTTTGTGCTACGGTTCACCAAAAATCACAGATGGATGGATGGATGGATGGATGGATGGATGGATGGATGGATGGATGGATGGATGGATGGATGGATGGATGGATGGATGGATGGATGGATGGATGGA